TAGAAATAATTTAAAAAAATCAAGTATTCCTAAAAATAAACCTTGCAAAGAGAGACATGTAAATACAATATGTCATGACACTAATAAAATCGACTATCAATCTACACCTGGACCAACTACACCTAGACCATCTACACCAGGACCATCAACATTCATGGCAACAAGTACACCAAAATCTAAAAATATGTTAAACTTAACTTCTAGTTCTTTTTCAGAATCTTCAGAAGAAGATTGGAATTCAAAAGATTTATTTGATGATTCAGATTCCACTCTATCCTCTAGATCAGACTGAGAAGAATTATATTAATATTTTTAATTTTGATTTTATACTAATTAATTATTTATTATTAATAAGATCTTTTTATAATTTTGTTACTCCGTGTATTTCACCATTTATCACACAATAACCAGATTGGTAAAATGTAATTATTTTATTTTAATTACTTTTTATTATTATTATTAAATTATAATTTTAACTAATTATAACTCGAGGAAAAGACAAATGAAATATGAAACTAAAAGACTAGAATTTAAATTGTTTTTTTGTTGTTGATGTTATAGTTACCTAATGAATCTGATTTGATTCATTTACAATTTATTGGTAGGTACATTTATAATATTTTTATTCATAATATAAAGTAATTTAAAATACATGAAAAGAAGTCAATAATAAGTAATAACACTATTAGGGACTTATATACTTATAAAATCATATATTAAATTTATAATACCATGAACACCACACTATCCAGTAAATAATAAAAATAAGCATTACAATAATTATAAGTTCATGGAAAAGTGGAAGTGAGGAGTTCCTAAGGGTGTTCCTATGGYGACATACAAAAATTATCAATATTTACCAAATTTACMRAATTTACGTAAATTTTACATCTCTAATAAAATGTAAATATAAATAAATATGTTTGTTGTTCAAAATATGACAAAAATAAACAACCATAATAATAAATAATAATCGACAGGAATAAGTATATGTTAATATAAATAAGATTTTCCACGAGTGATAACTAAACTATACTCCGTTCCACGAGAGAGTGCGACCAAAACGTGTTCATTTCTGCGTATCCCCACCACATCCGCGACAGGATGGCCTTCGGTCGGCATGTGTCGTTTGCCGTCGTATGATTGTCGAACGACGCTGTTACAATATACAGAGTGGTTACTGGTGTAATATTATTTATTATCATTACATGTTTGTTATTCCGTGTGGTTCAAGGT